CCTTCGTCCGAAGCTCCACTAACATCTATCTAGAATCTTAGCAGCACACAAGCCTCCACTGATGGCAGGGGGTGGCTGCACATGAGTGACATCAGTCAGGAACTAACCCAGGTCTCCCACGTGGAGAATTCTACCACTGACCTGCCAGCGCCGGATCTTACTGTGTGCTGACTCAGGAAGATTCCACGCGGCAGAGTAGAACTGCCTCCGTAGACCTTCCTGGCTCGGCAGCTTTCTTTACTCCATTTAGGAACCCACGTTTCATAAAACCGAAGAACAGATCTCTAGGGGAAAGGCATTTTGTTGCCACTGCTGTTATGAAAACTTCAGCCAGCTCTGCCTAGAGCAGCCACAGATGTGCCTTGGACAGGGGTGGTGAGCGCGGTGTATTCTCTACGAAGGAACTGGGTCAGAGAATATTTTCCATTTAAGTGTACAGTTTGCACTTCATGGACATTGTGCTTTTAAAAAACTGTTTAGAAGCTATACATTCTGAGTAGATAAAAAGATTAAGTCTACTTGTGCTATGCTGATGCCTTGATGTATTTCTCTAACTATAGTTGAGGACCACAGGCTAGATGACAGTTCCTCTTGGGTCTTGTTACTACCTAATAAACTCCCAAGCTGTCGGTTCTAAACTGTCTTTCTTGAAATCTGTACAGTCCCCAAATCCGTAACACACATGCTTCTTTATTTTAGGGTTTTGTTTTTTTACTTCACATACATATTGTCGCTATGCACAGTGAGGCATAAGAACTGGTGTGGAACATGTCTCATTGATTGAAACTCCTGAGTACAACCTCCCTGGCAAACAGAAATTTGAGAGCAAAAGGGATAAATCGCTGTGTCCCACATTCCTTGCTCTCGTCTGTCTCTAAGATCCCTCACCGGCTGCCATGCAGTTGACAGTAGAACTGCCCCTGGGAGTTTCTGAGTCTTCTCATCGTCACAGGAGGCAGACGCCCTCGTCTTTCTCCCACAGGGCTGCTGATGGGTTTGAACCACCCCCCTTGTGGTTAGCAGTTCAACTAGTAACCGACTAAGCCACCAGGGTCCTTGGAAGCCCTCTTAGGAAGTGCCAGTTATTTGGGGGCATTTCTCCAGTTAGGTTCAACTCCTCAGTTTCTCATTGCTGCTCCAACGACAAGGGGCACCATGGAGGTGGCATCTACGTCCCCCGCTCCCCTGCTGCCGCCAAGTTTACTCTCTTCTCCTCTCTGGGTTTGCCTCTCTCAAATGCTTGGCTTTTTCATCAACTCCCTGTTGTGTTTTTCACACAACTCCCTGAGATGTGGTCACTAAGGAGTTCTGACGGTGGCTTTGAGCAGATCATGTCTTCCCTCTGAGTGTGTGTGCATGTGTGTGTGTGCGTGGGGGGGGTCCATCAATGTGGATACTTGGCTCTACCCCACCCGTACTGTCTGGAACGTGGCTGTCCTTGATAAATGAAATAGTAGCAGAAGTAGGAGTAGCACCAGTCACAGTCAACATCATCAGCCGATAGCCCTTCCCTTGCCCCTAGGAAATCAATTGTGTATTCCTTTAACACTCACTCACCGCCTCGAGTCCATGCTGACTCATAGCGACCCTACAGGACAGGGTAGAACGGCCCCTTATGAGTTTCCAAGTCTGTAACTCTCCATGGGAGTAGAAAGCCTCATCTTTCTCCCTGGGAGCGGTTGGTGGTTTCAAACTCCGGATCTTGCAGTTAGCAGCCCAATGCGTAACCGCTGTGCCACTAGACCTCCTTCAACGCTCAAGAGAGAGAGTGACTGTCAAGCCGTATTCAAGGTCAAGAGCCAGGCTGCGCCTTCAAGGGCTCACAGATGCAGGGGAGAACCAGGAACAGCGGGAGCCGGGTGCCATATCCAAGGGCTTAGGGACTGCTTCCTCACGACAGTGGTTTCCTTTATTATTCATTTGTATACTCTTGTCCGTGTTGGAGTTTTTAGAGACAATCGAGGATTCTAGCAGGTGGCACACTGTATGATTAAGACTCCACTGCCCCGTGCACTCACGGGTGCCGAGAGGGGGGGCATCTATGGCCCCCAGAACTCTTACAGCCAGGATCACTCCTTCCTCTTGTCTCTGAAAGTTCATCTGACTAGGAGTTTTAGCAAAACACGTCGTTTTTGTTAGCAGGTGCCCAAATGGGTTTTGGCTCACAGCGACTCTGTGGAAACACGCCCCGGTCCGTTTCCATGCGCACAACGGTTGTTACCTTCACGCCCGGGGCTGCCGCTGCTTCGTCCATCCTCCGCATGGAGGGTCTTCCTCTCCTGTGCTGGTCCTCCACTTGACCGGCAGCCGTGCTTCTAAGGAGCATTCTGGTCACACTTCTGCCAAGACAGATTGGTTTCCTCTCCGGGCAGCATGGCTCTTTCCGTTTGCCTCACAATCGCCATGATTCAAATGCACCCAAACATTCCGAAAGAGTTTAACTTTGATTCCGCCGTCTAAAAAGAAATCCTTTTCTTAATGTACAGCCGCAGAGAACGCAGATGAAAGGACCACTAACTGCATCAGAGAGTACCAAGCCCTGGTGGCGTAAGTGGGTTCCACACCTGGCTGCTAACCATAAGGTCAGCAATTCGAACCCACCAGCTGTGCTGCAGGGTAAAGATGAGGCTGTCTGCTCGCAAAAAGACAGCCTTGGAAACCAACCCAGTGGATTTGGTTTGGTTTGGCATCAAAGCTAGAAAGTCTATTCCCAGGTAGTAACATCGCCACCTGGTGGCATTCCAACTCGCCTCCCTGGCAAATATAAATCCCAGGGGAAGAGTTTTACACTAAAAGCATCAAAAACAACTCACTACAGGGAGTCGATTCCAGCTCACAGGACAGGGTGGAACGGCCCATTCGAGTTTTTGAGGAAAGAGTGGAAAGCCTCGTCTTCCTCCTGTGTCTGTTGGTTTCAAGCTGCCGACATTGTGATTGATGAGAAGCCCACTTTGGCACCAGGGATCTTCAACTAAATGCAGAAGTGACATTGATGTGATATACTATGTCATTTGAGATGAGAAATAACAACTGAAGGCATAAGTGATCATTTTTCTCATCTACTATTATACATTATATGCACATTTAATAAATATTAATTCCTTATTCGAGATGGTTTTAAATAACATACCTCCACTTTTCCTGGACATTTTCAAAAATTCATTAATTGTGTCTTTCGTGCCTATATATAGGCATGTGCTTTCTTTTTTAAAAAATACTACAACAACAACAACAACAAATACAACAAATACACAAAAACTGACTTTATTAACTTTCTCAAACTCACGGCCATTCCATGCTGACGCCTTTAGAGACCCGCGTGGGTTTCTGAGATGTTCACTGTTGCGGGGAGTAGAAAACCCAGTCTTTCTTCCATGGAGCTGCCGGTGGTTTTGAACTGCTGGCCATGCAGACTGTGCAGATCACAGCCCAGCCACTGCCTAAACTTCCCATGACCAGAGCCATCTTATTTTGAGATATCCAGTCTAGAGTTGTGCTAGACCAGTGGTTCTCAACCTGTGGGTCACGACCCCTTTGGGGGTCGAATGACCCTTTCACAGGGTCACCTAATTCATAACAGTAGCAAAATTACAGTGATGAAATAGCAATGAAAATAATTTTATGGTTGGGGGATCACCACAACATGAACTGTCTTAAAGGGTCGTGGCATTAGGAAGGTTGAGAACCACTGTGCTAGATGATTCACACCACAACTACTCTATTTGGCGCTGAAAAGTTCCTTGATTTTCCTCTCTAAGTAAACTATTTAGTGAATTCTTCATTGCTGTTAGTGGTCAGGAGGGAGGGGTTTATGATAGTTATACAAGAGGTCTTGAAAAAGTTTTTGGGAAATAGAATGAAAATGTCATTTTTTCCATGGACTTTTTGAAGCTCCCTCATATAAGAATTGAAAACTGTATAGGACAAAGTATGTGTATCCCTAGGTCTGTACATGATATATTGAAACAAGGTCCTTGTTCAAAGAAAGAGTCTTGGTGAGACCCAGTACTGATCAGTTGTACTGGGGCAATTTAAATAGCTATCAACTGACGTGTGTTAGAACCACATGGGTGTGTGTATATTTACCGTGGTAAACATGTATGTCACAAAACACTTGCCATTTCCACATGTACAATTCAGTGACATTGTGTTCATCATGTGCAAACATGTTATTTATTCATAAATTTCCCCACCACCCTTAACAGAAGCTCAGTGTTGCCTAAGCACTAGTTGCCCTTCGTGCTTTCTTCCCCATCAACACCTGCAAGCCACATAGATGCAATGCCCAGAATAGACAAAGGCGCTCTGGTGGCGTACTGGTTATTCATTGGGCTGCTCACTGCTAGGACAGCATTTCTAAACTACCAGCTGTTCTCTGGGAGAAAATGGCGCTTTCTACTCCTGGAAAGATGGCGCAGTGACAGTTCTACCCTGTCCTACTGGGTGCCCATGAGTCGGAACCACTCAATGGCACTGATTTTTGAGAGTGGGCAAGTATATACAGATCTAAGATTATTAGCATTCTCATTTTTAATGCTGTTTTACATGTATTAAATGTATTTTTTTTTTAAGAATGAGTTATCTGTTAGTATTAAGTTAGTATTTTTTTAAGAATGGGCTATCTGTTACTGCCACCATTTAGTCAATGTGTTGTTTTCTGAAACTTGTTTTCTTTACTCCTCCAGTCACCAGCAGCTCAACAACTCAAACACCTACAGCCACAGCTAAAACCCCAGCTACAAACACAACTACAGTCACAGCTACAATCACAGCTACAAACACAGATACAACCGCAGCTAAAACCCCAGCTACAACCCCAGCTACAAACACAGCTACAAACACAGCTACAACCACAGCTAAAACCCCAGCTACAACCCCAGCTTCAACCCCAGCTAAAACCACTGCTACAACCACAGCTAAAACCACTGCTACAACCACAGCTAAAGCCCCAGCTACAACCACTGCTAAAACCCCAGCTACAACCACTGCTAAAACCCCAGCTACAACCACAACTCCAATCTCAGCTGCGACCACTGCTCCAAACGCAGCAACAACCGCTGCTCCGAACGCAACTACAGACCCAGCAACAAACACAACCGGAGCTCCCATTGCAACTGCAAACGCAACGACCCCTTCAGAAACTCGACCATCTACGAGCTCCCCTGGAGCAGGGACAGGTAAGAGCATTTCCCTCAAAGACTTCTTCATGGGGGTTCATAGCATTGTGGAAGGGAAAAGTCAGTGTGGTCTGATGGGGTAGGGACATTGGGATGAGGAGACTCAGTTTCCTGAGACATGAACCATGGACTTAAAATCTGAGTCACAGCGGCTAATAGAGATGACAAAGACCCTGAAAGATCAGCTTTGGTTCCATCCTGTTCTCCTCCTGCCCTTCCTCCACTCACCGTTCCCCCACGCCCTCACTCCCCCACCCCACTCCCACACACCACACACACACCTGCCCATCCTATCTCAAGCTAGTTGCCCGACGTGGAATGCTTTTTATGAGCTTGAGTTTCTGAGGCCTACCTCTCTAGCTTTTCCACCACAACTCCTTCCCATACGTCTACTGTAACTACCATGGCGTGGTAGTTACACGTTGGGCTGCTAACTGCAAGGTCAGCGGTTTGAAACCCCGCTTTGGGAGAAAGACGGAGCTTTCGACTCCAATCTCAGAAACTCGCAGGGGCAGTGCCTCCCTGTCCTGTGGGGTCACTGGCATTGCCATGGACTCGATGGCAGCTCGGGGGATTTGGGAACTTGCTTCGGCGTCTCTAAGAAGGCCAGGTCCATGTAAGTACTGGCTCTCTAGCTAGGCCTGCTGGTCCACCTCCTTGACCTACCTAAGGAAGGAGTCCATTGTACCCAAAGTTATGAGGACATATCACCGTCTGGAATTTGAACTAAGTGATGGTCTTTGAGCCTGAGGAATGAAAAATCAAACCAAAACCGTACTCTGACAGGCCTCGGTCTGACCCGAACCAGTGTCAAAATGATGGATATCTGGTGGAGAGCATCTAAACCATACAGCTGAATCTCAAACAGAAATGATTGAAACAGAAATTGCCCACCTCATTTCTCAAAGCTTGCTCTATAACAGAGGCCAGACAAGTTATCTGTAAAGGGCCAGAGAATACATGTTTGGATCACCTATGGTCTGTGTTACAGGACGTGGTAGCATGAAAACGGCTACATGAAGGGGCCTCACCGGGCCCAGTTTGCAAGTCTTATTTGCAAAAATAGAAGGTGGGACAGTGAGGGCCCATGAGCCACAGTTCACCAATTTTGGTCCAGAAGATCTCTCAAACTTTAGAGCTTGAAGTTCTTGGCTTGAGCTTAGCCAACTGTAAAAAACAAAAACAAACAAACAAACAAAACTCACTGCCATCGAGTCCATGGCAATGCCAGTGACCCCACAGGACAGGGAGGCACTGCCCCTGTGAGTTTCTGAATTGGAGTCGAAAGCTCCATCTTTCTCCCAAAGCGGGGTTTCAAACCGCTGACCTTGCAGTTAGCAGCCCAACGCGTAACTACCACGCCATGGGGGCTCTTTCATCTGTAACAAGGGGTGCTACATGACATAGGTACCAAAGTCCTGGCCCACAGTAGAAGCTAACTAGCCTGTCCCTTGCCATTGGAGAGAAAACCCAGGAGCAGTTATTTGCCGGAGTTCTCCAGAGATGTCCTCTATTTGTCCCTGGAACTTTCCAAGTCATGCTCAGGGCTGAAGTTTCTGAAAGCCCAATGGCTTAGAGTTTTTGAAAGCCCAATAGTTTTGCTTAGAGTCCTGGTTCATGGTTTGTCTGAGGGGGGGAACCATATTGCCTCCTTTTGCCCCATGCCAACTCATTGCGAGTCTCTCAGACAGGGTAGAACTGCCAAAAATCGATTTTATTTTTTAATAAAAGTAAAAGAGGCTCGTGGTTATGATCCAAGTAGCTCAAAGGGTACAAAGTATATACGGTAAAAAGTAACTCTCGTGAATCTGTGTAAACGCTCACGCAAAGCATAATCAAAGAATATTTAAGAGGGGACAAAAAATTAAAGTCACTCTCCCTTCCAGCCCAGACTTCCGAGCATGAGAGCCCCAGTCTGCTTCCCCTGAGGCAAATATTGTAGGTAGCCATCTTCTGCAGAGATCGTCTCTGCAGGGCCAGCAGGCACGCGCGTTGCTGCATACACCGAAAAGGAGTTTGTTTACACCAAAGAGGAGCATCCTCGACTCTAAAGCTTATACTAGAAAGAGCTGTTGGGAAACCCGTGGTTTTACTTAGAGATCCGTTTGTAAGAAATCTCTCAACAGCCCTGAAGGTTGTCGGACTCTCGAGCTAGTCCGGAACCACATCCAGGATGACTTTCTTTGGCAGATGCGCAGGAACTAGCCGGCCAGCGTGACCAGGCTAGCTCCCTTCTTCAGATCGAATCCCTTCTCCGGAGACAGGAAACGTGGTCCAGCCTGCCTGAGCGGGAAGTCCCTGTCAGGGGCAAGAAGGTGTTTGCACCATGAGCGCACGCCTCCTCCTCAGCGTCCCTCTGCTCTCTCTGCGTTTGTGGGGCCTATATTCAGACTGTGGCATGAGTGGGGGTTGGGAGCCCCTGGCCTGCCCCTCTCTAAAAAGCAGTGATTGTACCTTTCCAAAACCTACAGCACTTTAGATAAAATGGTTTGGGGGAACCCTGGACCCAAACAGATTGCTATCGATTTAATTCTGACTCATTAAAAAACAAAACAAAAACACACGGCCATGGTGTCAATTCTGACTCATGGCCACCCTAGATAGGGTTTCCGAGGCTGTAAACCTTTACAGGAGCAGACAGCCTCATCTTTCCCCCACGCAGCAGCTGGTGAGTTTGAACTGGGGACCTCGTGAATGGTTAGCTGCCTAAGGTTGATGGGACAGCGTCACCAGGGCTCCCTTCACCTAGGAGGAGGCAGAAGAATTCTGGGCGATCTTCAAGATTCAGAGATTCTGGATGGCCTCGAATTAGGAGGCCTGCTATCTTATTCCCTAAGAAGACCCTTGCCCACTTAGCCCTGGCCTTTCCCGGCTGCAACCCCATGGCTTCCAGATTTCAGCAACTAACTCCCTCATGATATTAAAAACGGAAACCCCTAAACTCCACTTTCGTTTGTTTTTAGGTCTTCTAGGTGTGCGCCAAAGAGCCCTGGCGGCACAATGGGTTAAGTGCATGTTGGGTAGCTGACTGCAAGGGTTGGGGGCTCAAGTCCATCCGCCACTCCACAGGAGAAAGATGAGGCTCTCTGCTCGCATCAAGATGTTCCATCTCAGCAACCCTAAAGAGCAGGCCTCCTCTGCCCCCCGGGGCCCCTAGAGTTGAAAGTGGGAAGGGTTATCAGGGAGTAACACAGGCAAGGAATGAAAAGCACGCAGGAGGGAGGCCCAGAGAGCTAAGAATATGTGTCTCTTTCTATTCCATTTAAGAGCCCACCAATCCGTGCGACCAGGCGTCCTGTAAGGATGGTTCTTCCTGTGTTCCCCTGAACAGCACCTTTTTCTGCCTGTGTTCCACGAGGTACTACTATAAGGAGTCCAAGTGTCAGGAAGGTGAGTTTGAGGAATGGAGGGTGGCACAGCTCTGAATCTCAGGATAGAAAACTCAAGAGAAATTCCGGAATACGAGTGAGGCCGGAAAACCTGGAGGCATCAAAAGCCAGCCAAGAAGTGAAGAGGCTCCTGCCTATATCTCAGGGAGAGAGGAAAAGAGCGGGGGTGGGGGGGCCAGGGGGGGGCTGTGTGCACATGGCTGTGGGTGTGGCCTTTCACTCAACCTGCTCCAGGGAGTGGGGTCACAAGAACAAAAAGTGAGCGAGAGGGGTGAAGCTGTTGAGCAAACATGACACCCCAAATCAGCAGAACCATCAGGGTCATTCTGACTCTTGCCAACTCAATGGGGGTCCGAGGGGACCTGCGTCCATGGGTGAGTTTTTTGGAAACAAATCTGCCCAGGTGCCTCTGGATGGATGAGAAGCCGTTCGTCTTTCGTTTACAGCCCAGCGCGCAGGCATTCGCACAAGAGACTCACACAGTGAGGACAATGTAGGGTCGGAGGCAGAATGAGGGCGGTGATGTGCCTGCCACCCCACTGTCAGGTCCTGGAGCCTGGTCTTCCGGCTCGATGCCCTCAGAGCCCACAGGAAGTGCTCGCCCTGCGACAGCGGAGCTTTCCTCTAGAGGAGTCTCAGCCTCTCAGCTCCAGAAATGCACTTTCTGGGCACCCCTTTGCATACCCTTTGTCAAAGGCTTTCTTTGGGGGGGGGGGAGGCGGAGGAGTTCGATTACTAACTGTCATGAAGGCCCGAGGCTAATAGGTAAAACCTGCTCAGTCCCACGAGTGGCCGGAGCAGACCGGTTCTGTGGGCTAGGACGGCATGGTATTGGCCATGAGCGTTAGTAAGAGATGCATCAGCAACCTTAAGAAAGTTCATCTCTTTTGCCCTAAGAACCTCATTTCTGGGAATCTGCTTAAGGAAATGACCCCAATTACCCAAAGCAAGGATTTATACATAAAGATGGTCATCGCAGCCTTGTGTTTAACAGCAGAAGGTTTTACGTCCTACGATCACAAAAAGTGTCAAATCCGTGAACGGTGCACATGCTTCAGAGACTAGGATGCAGCTGGTGAGAAGCTGACGGTGAGAGGAGGTGGTGACTTGATCAATAGGCTGATCATGTCCAACGAAGAAGCGCTGTGGAAACTCAGGAGGGAAGCTATGCGAAAATACACGTTAACATGAAAAAGAGCCGGGGGAAAAAATCCCAAATGAAAATACTTGTGTAAGGTTGGGTGGGATTATGGGTTACACTGTCCGTATTTTAAAAGTTCCTGTCCTGTTGTTGTACTATCACTTTTACAATAAGAAAACAGTCTGCGTGGGGAAAATGGTGATGTCGTCAATGTAAAGAATGTGCAAAACCCATTTGGATGAGCATATGTTTCATTGGGTATGTCTCATCCATTGCTTTTAAGTTATTTTGGACACCAAAAATATCTGGTTTGCAACAAAATCAAAATGACTCTCTTTACATCAAATCATACAGAAAGGTTCTGTTTGAATTTCAGGAAAAATATTCCCTGGGTCCATTAGAATGAAGGAATCAGATATGTCTGCTTTGAAGGATAAAACTTCTGTGGCCTATGAAAAACTACATAATAAGGTTAATGACTTTGTAAGTATGCACTTACCTTCTTTTATGTATAAAGGAGCCTCTGCTAGCTAGTGGGTTGCACGTTGAGCTGCTAACCTAAGGTCAGTGGTTCAAACTCACCACCATCTCGGTGGGAAAAAGATGAGGCTTTCTGCACCTATAAAGATGTGCAGCCTCCAGAAACCAGGGAACTGTTCTCCTCTGCCCTATAGAGCAGCTATGAGTTGGCGTCAACTCGGTGGCAATGGGTTGGTTTTTCTTGGTCTAAGTATGCGTTGTTCTAACACCTGGTTAGCTCATACTGGTACGGCTGTTTTGGTTGTTCCGATGGTGAAAGGCCGCCTTGCTGGTAAACAACAGCTGCCCTGAGCCCTCTGGGTGCACCTACCCCTCCCCAGCTGGGTGTCTTGGATCTCGAAGAACCTGTGCATAAGGTTGTGCACCTGAAATAGAAACTCCAAGTGAAGGGACGTCTGCTACTTGCCACCCTGCCCCCCCCCACCTCACCCACAGCTGCCAAGCAGGATGAAAGAAAACCAGCCGCTTCACTCCATTTGGATAACGATGACGGAGACCATGTTGGCGTGAAAGGGATCGGTGTTCCATTCTGGTCCCACAGGGGTTAGATGTGGAGCTCAGAGAGCACCCTGCCCATGTTTCTCAAAGTTTAATTTTAAAGATGGGGGTTTGGGGAGGCTATACATACATCTCGAAACCCTTGGTGGAGAAACTCTTTAAAAGCTGAACTCTTAGTCTTTGGAGGTGTCTTACCATTAAGAAGGAGATCATCCGCAGGGATTGACGTATAACACCCCGCCACCCGCCACCGCCATCCCCCAACCTGAGGGGGATGGACAACAGAAAGGTGGGTGTACGATATGAAAACAATAATAATTTATAACTTAGCAAGGGTCATGAGGGTGGGGAGGTGGGGGAAGGAAGGGAAAAAGAGGAGCTGATACCAAGGGCTCAAGTAGAAAGAAAATGTTTTGAAAAGGAAGATGGCAACATATGTACAGATGTGCTGGACACAATGGATGAATGGATTATGATAAGAGCCCCCAATAAAACAATCTATTAAAAAATACTAATTAGATCATCATTATAGAGTTTGGTGATTGGAGCGAATCCCACTTATTGAAGGCTGACGGGAATGGTTTTGGAGATGAACAGAGAACGGGTGCTCAGGACGGAACAGCAGGGGCTGGTGCTGTTCGGGCAAAACCCTTTGACGAGCCATGTCTGCTTGGTGGGCCGCTGGCCCAGGCTCACCCTCGTACCCTGGACCCACACCCAATTATCCACCTGTCCCTACCTCAGTGAGGACAGCGGCAACATATTCCTACCTCGAGGAGCTGGGTGGGCTCTGTGGCTGTCCTTCTCAGTGCTGGCCAAGCTTGCTTTAGGTCTGCGAGTGCCACAAAGCCACAGGCCTCTTCCCCGGTCTTCACGGCCTGGTGGAGACATGCTCTCCTTGAGGCTTCACGGCCCCAGGAGGAGCACGTCTGAGGGGCTTTGAATCAAAAAGCATAGGCCAGCACCCCCTTGGGATCCATGAAGGAAAGACAGGAAAGTGGAGGCCACTTGCTTTCAAGATCTTCTTAGCCATTTTGGCCAGGCCAGAACCAGCTCAGGCCCTAGGAATTCTCCCAAGTTCATTTCTGTTCAGCGGGGCCAGATGGACAGTCCCCATGGGGATTGGGAAATGTCCCATTGTTCGCATGTATAGGGTTCTCTGCCTGGTATTTTACACAGCATAATTCTAATGCTGAAACTAGCCCTTGGAGGAGTTAGGACTATTGGGTTCATTTTACATGTGAAGCCATCGAGGCCCAGCCAAGTTAGGGCCCTGGATGATAAGTGGGGAGAATAGGATTTGAACTTGAACTCACTTGACCCCATGGCTCCTGGACTGCTGGTTCTGTGTGGGACAGAGGTGGGCAAGTCCATTTGCATAGGCCCTGGCTTCTTGTCCAACCTTAAACCCCTTTAGAGATAGATGTATGTAATATCCTAGCGTCCTCCAAGGATGACTTGGAAGAGAGGGGCAAAGGGAGTTGAAATCCTTTATTCTAAACCTGATGTTGATTTCTCAAGCTCATCTTTGGGATTAGGAAGATTCAATGGACAATGGGCAATTGGGAAGCTAGAAGAATCTCTTGAGATCATTCAGTAGACTCATTCCCAAGTGGGACGTTTCTTTCATTATTTCTTTTTTTTAATTTAATCATCTAACTGGGGACTCATACAGCTCTTATCACAGTCCATCCATCCATCCATCCATTGTGTCAAGCACATTTGTACATTGGTTGCCATCCTCATTTTCAAAACATTTTCTTTCTACTTAAGTCCTTGGTATCAGCTCCTCATTTCCCCTCTCCCTCCCCACAACCCCCTCCCTTAATGAACTTGAACTCTTGATAATTTATAAATTACCATTATTATGATTTCATGTCTTACACTGACGGATGTCTCCCTTCACCCATCTCAGTGGAACCTTTCTAATTGTCTACAGAAACACCAATGATTTCTCATATTTAAAGTATTATTAGAAAGGAGTTTAGGCTGACCTGGATATAAGGCTGTCCAGGCTAGCCAGAGGGCAAGCTGTATTTGAATTTGCCGAAAAGACAAGAGAAAGAATCTTACTACGCCTATTAAATGCCAGAGATGGCGCTGCTCTTTTACAATGGGAGCTACTCTGAGGAGAAATAAAAGATTATAAAAAGGTCCAACACTGATCTGGATCTACAGTCATACCTCCTAAAACAAACCTCCCTCACCCCGGATCGGCTGGTGTCTTGCACCTTAGTCAGTCAGTCACCAGTCAGTAGTACTGGCTGTACGCGGCCAGGCATGAGGTGCTATGGGGAGAGGAGAGGATGGAGTCTTGAGAAAATCCTCTTCTTGCCATCAGTGAGTCTCATTCCAGTTAGGGTCCCCTCCCCTCCGTCCCTCCAATGGTCCCAATTCATCTCTGGCCACTCCCTTAAAAGGACCTGGAGTGTCTGTTCTGGGAACACAACCCGAATCTAATCCTAATCACCTGTGGCGGAGCCCTGGAAGGAGCCCAGGTGGCATAGTGGTCAGCAGTTCGAAACCACCAGCTGCTCTGGGGAATAAGATGAGGCTTCCTCCTCCCGTCAAGAGTTACTTTCTCAGAAACCCCCAGGAGCCGTTTTACCCTGTCCTATTGGGTTGCTGTGAGTTGGAATCCACTCAACAGCAGTGAGTTTGGTCTTGGAGCCCCTGAGAGCTCACAGTGCCCTGTGTCTGCCTCACTTCGTGCATAGTGAGAGGCTTGTGTGCCAGGAAGCACTGCCAGCTCCGTGTTCCCAACGAGCAAAGGGAGGTCCCAAGAACTGGGCGACAGCTAGCACCTGCAGACACTTGACTTTAGACTCAACACATCCTATGTGCTTCCCAATCTAGCTTGTGTCCTTCTGGGAATGCTAGTGAGCTGCTCCTTCTCCGCTCTCAGAAATGCCCTCCAAAAGACCCATCTGCTTTATGGGCTAGATCTACCCTCCTTAGCAATTTCAATTTCTTAGCATGAGCCTGTAGCATCATGCCCTCAGCAAGACAGGCAATGGCAAAGGGAACTTCTTGGGGAAATTGATCAATGTATGATGCACACACAGAGATAAGTCTAACAAACAGGCAGAAGTTAGCCATACAGTTTAAAAAATAAATTTAATAAGTATGTGTTAGAGAAACAAATCCATAGACACACATACGTGTATAAGGAAGAGGTTTATATATGAGAGCAATTGTACATTAAGAAAGCATCCCAACCCAGTCCAGTCCAAGGCCCTAAGTCTGATATTAACCCATATGTCCAATATCAATATGTAAAGTCCTCTTCAGACTCACGAAACACATGCGGTGATGCCAAATGCAGAAGGATCACAGGCCAGTGGGTGGAAAGTCTTCGGATCCAGTGGCGTTGTAAGCATCTCAGCGCTGGCAGGGGTCTCCCCGTGGCTTCTCTGGCTTCAGGGGTCTGGTTGCATCAGGTCTGGTTGTGGCTTCCCCAGCTCAGGGCACTAGCATAGTTCCATGTGCCTTGTCAGCTGCAGTGTCTCCCAGGGAGTGGCAGAGAGAGAGAAGTGTTTCCTCCCCCGTCTAAGGAGGAAGTACCAGATTTCCCAGAATTCTCAGGAGAAGGCCATGCCCACACAGAAGCCTAATTGGCTATGATCTGATTGACAAGCTAGAGTCCACCCCTACACTCTTAATCCTCAAATTGGCAAACTATTATATATCTACCACAGCCATCTTATTTTTAAGACTATTATATTTTATCTGGTCCAGGAATCTTTGCTATAAAATAGATAAAATTCTGATGTAAGTTAGTTATCTGATGGAAACCAGAAAAACACTCAACCAACTAACTTCATGGCAAAGATTCCTGGAGGGCATTCAAGGGCATGACAGTCAGAATAAACAGTTGTGTTGTTATAATCCATGCATATGTACATGAATGTATTTAGAGATGCTTTATGTTAAAACAGAGAGAGAATATCATGTCTGTGTTTTGCGCTATGTAATTATTCAATATATTCTTCTCCACAGTTTAACTCCACATTTAAAGATATTAGAGATGAATATGGTCAGACTGTAATTATTGAAGTCAGGTAAGTTTACAGTGGACTGATAAGGTATTTTGGAGGCGGATGTCTGTTTGCCTAATTGAAGAGAGAAATGGGAAGGAGGCTGCTGAGGGAGGGCTAGGAATTCTTTCAGGGTGTTCGGTTTGATTTAGTGAACAACACAGAGTTCATGAATAGAAGGTGAGGATTAAAAACAATATGTGAGAATCAGCCAAATCCGGGTTTGGATCAGGGCGTCCAACTGGTTCCAACCAGTTCAACCGTTGCTGTTGTAAGCTAGGGCCATGCATAGCCACCAAAGCTGTTGTTTGATATTTTCACTCAAGAAACAAATAGCAGTTCCCCTGCCAATAATCCGACCTCCCACACGAGGCTCCAGAACCCTTAGGGAGGAAAGATGGGCGCAGGACTTTTGGTGATCAACATTACGGGCAAGGCTCTGGAGACACATTCAAAGCAAGAGTGACCACCGTCTGTCATCAGCACACAGCTGTCTGTGTCCCACGGGGGTTAAAATGCCACAGGCAGAAAAATATGGATGGAAAACCTGCTAGAAACTTCATTTCCATCTTAGAAAACAAGGGCCGCGTGCCCACTGTGTAACAACCGAATAACTGGACAGAGTCAGAGACGCTCATGCCCCCCTCAAAGACAGGAGCCCATCATGCTGCTTTGACCGCGTCTGTCCTCACTCCACAACCTTGACGAAGACCCTCCTGCATCAGGCTCCTGAAAGCGCTCGTGGTGTCGCTTCCCATTCTCCAGTTCAAGTCTCTGACCGAGCCCCTTTCCCATTGCACTTGCCATTCCAGTACGGGTACATGTCACATACCCAGCTTTGTCCCAGTGCTGCCACCACCATGGTGCCAGGAACAGACCTGTTGAAACCAGTCGGAAGCCCTGGTCCGAACGCTGGCGTGGCTCACTCACTGCGTGATGGGGCAAGTGTCCTAACATTCTTGAACCCTGACTGCCTCATCTGTGAAAGTGCGACACAGGTGTGGAGCAAGGAGATGATGTTTGTAAGATTTCCCCTGCACAGTGCCCGGCACATAGTAGGTTTCGACGTGTTGGTTTTGATTTCCCAAGTAGGTTGTGGGACCACAGAGTCATTTGGGGGGGTTCCCCGAAACTATGGCACTCCTGTAATTCTTAAGGAGTTACTCAAAGGGAACCAGGGCTGCTTGTAAGCACACTTTTGCCTGTGATCTCGGGGTACAGAAGGGAACTAACCCCTTCTTTTGGGGTGCAGTACAGCACAAGTTGCCGGGGTCTCACCCAGAAGGCTTCCTGAAGTTCCAACTCACACTGTTGTCTCTCTCCTCTGAATGGCCAAGGTCTTCGCCGACTGTGCAGAGGTTAGAGTTGGAAAGGCCCTTAGAATTTCTCATCTCCAAACTTCTCTTTGAATCAGGGCATCCAACTGGCTCATTCCCGTCTGACCCTCTGCTAAGAATTTCCACACGGATGTCCTAAATCAGAATCTGCATTTTAACAGGCTACATATGCTTAAGTGGGGAGATTTCGGAAAATTCATGGAAAAGTTCCACGATCATTAAATTTATTTTGTTCATGAACTTTTTGAAGCCCTCTCCTATTCTTATGTTTACACGTAAGAAGCTCCCAGTGGACTATCAGAATCACAAAGGAATTTGTTATACCAGAGTCTCTGATTCAGTACATCTGGGTGGAAATGCAAGTTCACAGGAGGAGGTCCAACTGGAACGAACCAGTGCAGAACCATGCCTTAGACTTTTGGCCATTTTCAACCTGGCCAGAAACGATCATTTCAACCCACGGTCATTTCAACCTGCATAAAGTACTTCTGTCTCACTACCCTATACATTTCACTCCCACCCCACCCAATTCTATCATGAATGAATTGTGCAGGGTAGAAAGCAATTGAAAAAAACCTTTTTTCTAAAATCCCTTTTGAGTTGAGAGGAGTCCTGTTGAAACCTCAGGCTTGTTGTTTGACAGGGACAGAGGTGATGGCCTGGTGCATGCGCAGGCAGGAGGGTGTGCCCTGTCTCCCAAAGGACAAGCCCGAGATGTCACAGCCCAACAGCTGTGGGACAAGGGACCACGAACTATTTCAAATGTTGCTTGCTCTAGTCCTGGCTACCTCCAGACTCTTGGTTCCTAAAAATGATGGCCCACAGTTCTCCTAAGTAGCTTCCAAGGCGTAGTGGGTTCCAAAATGTCAGCAGTTCAAAGCCATCAGCCACTCCACAGTAGAATGATGAGACTTTCTAGTTCTGGAAAGAGCTACCATCTCAGAAACTCATCGGGCCAGTTCTACCCTGTCCTGTCAGGTCTCTGTGAGTCAGAAACCACGGAATGGCAGCGAGAGGGAAGTTGTACTCGGGAGTGCTCACGTAGTTTTAGTCAATGAGGCATGTACCAAGCTGATACTTAGGCATCACTATGAAGAGCGACAATATGCATTTAAAGTCAAAACAAAACAAAACCCTAAAAATAAAGAAGAGAGAGAGAGAGAGAGTGTGTGTGTTACAGATTTGGGGACTGTACAGATCTCAGGACAGTTTGTTGCTGACAGCTTGGGACTTTATTATCTAGGAACAATGTGAAAGCCGAACTGCAGCAGAGGCGCCCTCCTCCACGATAGTTATGGAAACACATCGAGGCATCAGGCAGTTGGTTTTTCAGTTTAACTTCCAATAGAGTGCTGTTTGAGTCATAGATTTCCTCTGAGAGAGCATCAAACAGCCACCTCAGGGCCTGTAAGCGGCTATCTGATTGCAACCCCATGCTCCACGGATGGGTCCCAATTGTGGAGGCGGAGCAGTGGGACAGGACCCCGACTAGGAGACCTGTGTGTTGATCCTTCGACTCAATTCCCCAAGTGACACCGATTCATTTCTTCTTCAGAACCTCTACTTTCTCAAGATCTGGAGTGCGTGCCACCATAACTGTTGATGTGTCCGTAGTAAACATTTTGATAAAAACTACGAATCGGACTGAGACGAATGTGTCTGACATCATTGAGCAAGGAGTGAACAATAGTAAAGGTGCCATTGAAGGATACGATAGTAAGTATCATAGAATTTTATTCTGAATTTACTGCAAGACCTGCCTTCCTTTCCGAGAACTGGATCATTACATGTGAGAAGGGGGGCGAAGCGCTGTAGGATTGTACCCAGAGATATCTCCCGATTATCTTTTAGCCAATTTGTTCTTCACTTTCTTCTCTCCATTGGCTTCGATACCTTCTTTCCCACCATCTTCCCAATGACCAAATTCCCTGGCTTGTACTCCTCTTGGAAAAAATAGAAATGACCAGGAAAACAGCCCGTGGGCAGAAGCCAATGAAAGGAGGAGGGTAAAGAGACCCGGTCGCCAAGTTGGTGCTTCCCAAATGATGACGGACTGTTCCACCTGCACCGCTGCCCTTCAGGCTGACACAGACACCCCAAGGGCACTGTCACAATCGACATTTGCTCTGTTGCCAGCCACTGAGGAAGACCCATGTCTGCATTGCAACGCCATCACTCTGTGGGTCTGAACTCAGGCTGCGCGCAGCTGGGCTACTCTCTCTTGAATTCACTTCAGCTGCTGATCAAAGATGGCTCAGCGGATGCTTTGGCTCTGCTCCATGTGGTCTGGCTTCCTGCAGCAGGACAGTCACACAGGGTTTCAAGAGTAGCAAGGGGGTCGTTCCAATGCACAAGTCTACGCGTACATCATGTTTGCCTGTCGCAACGGCCCAAACCATCCACACGACCGAGCACGGGGTCCATCCAAAAGTCATGGGCACAGCGAAAGGTGAATCAGTTGGAGGGAGACAGACGTCCTGAGTTCATCCTGAGGCACCTACTCAGGCCAGTCTCCGTGGAGGCTTTGTGTCGCTGTTCTCAGCTCTGGCTACCTAATCCAAATCAGCCGGTTGTTGAGCTGCTGCGCCGTATCTGACTTCTCTGTGGCACTTGAATGGGTCTCCCTCTCTTCTTGAAACCCCCTTCTCCCGGGTCCCTGTCTACCACCCTCCTAATCTCCACCCCGACTCCTCCCCACCACCTCCACCCGGTTCTCTCCTCCTCCTCCTTTGCTTTTTTAAATGATGGCGACCTCCCAGACCTAGTGTGTGAAAGCATCATTCTCTTTTTGCCAATGTTAACCTGCCCCTTGACAGTTTTCCCCACCTGTTCGCTCTTTCTTCAGCTTTTCACAAAGATGGTCATCATGCCTTTTCTCACCTGGGAGGGAAATGCTCTGGGACTGAGAAAACAACCAAACGCAAAAAACCTACTTACAATTCTGCCAAAGCGGGGAGGGGGGGTGGCTCCCCTGCCCTGTGAGCCCCTCCTCAGACTCCACCCCCTCCGGGCTGTCCATTCAATTCTTCCTGGCAGAAATGACTGGAGAAAATTCCCATCGTGCTTCAAGTCTGGACCTCGCAACCTCGCACGGGATGCGGAGTGGTCTGTGTGGGGATTCTGTCTAGGTTCAAATATGATTCAACATCATTTCATTGCACTGATTGAATTCATTTGGCTCCAAGGACAGAAGGAACTAGCCTAAGGTGACCAGATTTTAACATTGGTGAAGCGGGACACCATTGGTAAAACTCATATCCTGGCGAAATAGCCACATGGCAGCCAAAAACCATATACCCTAGCTTGTTGTGCATTCCTTCCAAAAATCGGGACTTTTTAAAAACGCCACGGGACGCGGGACAACTTGTTAAAAATTGGAACTGTCCTGCCAAAAGCAGGATGCCTAGTCACCTTAATACTAGGCCTAGGGAGCTGGATTTTAGATTCCCAGATATTCACTGGGTGAATCCCTAAACGTATAAAGAAGCAAACTGGGGTGCTTTCACAAAGCAATCAGTCCATGCACCTTACTGGGAGGGCCCTGGAGGTGTAGTGGTTACACATTGGGCTACTTACCACAAGGTCAGCAGTTCCAAACCACCAGCAGCTCTTTGGGAAAATGACAAGGCTTTCTATTCTCTTTAAAAAATTTTTTTGAACTGTAGGCTTTTACAGCTCTTATAACATTCCACACATCAATTGGATCAAGCACCTTTGGACATATGTTGCCATCATCATTTCCAAGACATTTTCTGCTGGAGCCCTTGATATAAGCTCCTCTTTCCACCCCCTCCCTCCCACTCTCCTGTGTCCTTGATCAATTACATAGTGTTATTGTTACTTTGTGTCTCACACTGTCCTTTGTCTCCCTTTAGCCACATTTCCATTATTCCGTTATTCGAGGGGAGGGGGCTATGTGGCTTTCCATTCTTGTGAAGAGGTACCCTCTCAGACACGGCTGGGGCAGTGCTACCCTGTCCTATCAGGTCGCTAGGACCGGAGCATGGACTCACTGGCGGTGGGTTTGAGCCTGTGTCCTGCTGACTGAGTTTTTGCCTTGTCTGTGCCTCCCCCTTAGCGCAGTCTCGGTGTGACTTTTATGGCTGTAAAAAAGACCGTGGAGATGACTGCGACAGCGGGGTACAATGTGAATGCAAAGATGGGTTCCAAAGACCCAACCCTCAGATGGCGTTCTGTATTGGTAAGTGCTCTACCTGCTTTGAAACACCACCGCCCCTGAGAGCTCCTAAGAGGATTTTGCTTGGGGGCGCAAGTCCTCTCATGTTTCCGAGGAGGCTGGAGCCCCGTGAAAGAGGCCTTAGACATTGACTGCCTGATGTGGGCTTCAGCTAGGGGCTTCCTTCGGCAGCCCTGGGCAGTTACCTGGGAGCACGTTCTGGGAGCACTTTCACCAAGAAAAGATGCATTTTGTGACCTGGGGCTTTGGGGGCTGAAGAAGTTTGTCTGGAAGTGACTCGGGGGGATACCACTCTGTTTGTTTTGAAGCTCTCGACTGTCCCAACTGCAACCGGGAGGACAAGAAGCAGTGTTTGCTGAGGGCAGACGGCGGGGGCTCGGAGTGTGTGTGTCTGGCGGGCTATCAGTCGATGGACGATGGGAAATGTGTCGAGTAAGAGAACTCACTCATCTTTTTTATTGGGCTATCGCTGGAGATAGGTAAGCGGGCTAGCGCTTGCCGAGTGTTTAGAGTGAGGATGTTGGTAAACCGCTGTAACCTGGCAGGTAAAGGGCATCGTCCTCATCATCAATCTCTGTGAGCTTCCTCTCTGTGCTAATGGAGTCCTGTCAGCAGTCCGCTGATAACCAGAAGGTCCGTGGTTCAAACCCATCAGCCGCTTCACCAGAGGAAACATGGCCGTCTGCTTCCATTGAGATGTCCAGCCTTGAAACCCTATGGCAGCAATTCTCCACCTGTGGGTCGTGACCCCCAAGGGGGTCAAATAACCCTTTCACAGGGGTCGCCTAAGACCGTATTTCCAATGGTCTCAGGAACTGAGACAGCGCTCCTCTATCTGTCTCCAGGCGGGTCTGCCCACACGCAGAGATGCCCACATAGGAGGTCACCTCCACATGAGGCGCTGTATTAAAGGGAGGTTGAGAACCACTGTCCTATGGGGCAGATCCCCACTACAGTTGCCGAGTTGTCGTCAACTTGACAACAGTGGGTTGGTTCCGCTTTGGGTCCATGTGCTTAGGACCCACACTCATCAAAACCATCTCACAATGTCCCCCACCTCCGCCAGGACTGGGTTCGCTCCCCATCTTCAGCGGAGGGAGTTTAAATCACATGCCTAACACTCTGGGCAGCAAGCCTGCGTGGTCTCACAGCCTGGGTGTCCCGGCGTGCTCCAGGCCTCCCGCCCTCAGCTTTGCCCGGCTGCAGAGCGCCTTCCCCGGCGGGCGTTCAGTCAGGGGCAGAAGATCGCAAGGGCCTGCACACCACCGCCCGAGCCCCATGGAAGAGACCCCCTGGAAGGAAGGGCGTGATAAGCAAGAGGAGGTGGTGCAGATGCCTAAGGCTCTGCTAGCTGACAGGTTGGCAGTCTGAGCCCATGCAGCGTCTCCCCAGAAGACGGGCCTGGTGACCATGGGCTTTCCAAAGGTCACAGCTTTGAAAACAGGATGGCACCGTTCGGCTCTGCACCCACGGGGTCTTCGTGGGTTGACCTCAACGCCTCAGCAACGAGGAAGAACAGAGCAGAGAGAAAGGTGG